TTTCCACCCCAAGACGAAATTTCGCCGACGACCATGACCAGTCATATCGCCTTCGCATGCTCTGCATACATCGATGCCCACAATACGCGAGATCTGCCGGTTTGTTAATTTTGCAATGCTTAATTTTGGTTACTTGCGTTAATTTTTTTCTTTTTGTGTGTGGCTCACACCCGCATCTTCAATCTTCCCGTAATTAGCGAGGATGTAATGTTAGTCATGCCATTGCAAGTTGCAAATGAGTTCTGCTGAAACCTGCAAGCTGCCGGAAGGGTTAAGAAAGGTAAAGAAGATAACCACCTGTTTGTAGCAAAAAAGCAACATGAAAATCCATACAGATTTCTCAGAAAGCCTCTTAGTTGCTGAAAAATTCGTCCTGTTCTGGGGTTCAAACCCTGGACCAATGCCTATTTGGGGCGGTTGTTCTGCCAATTGAGCTAACCAAGAAGCTAGCAATTGACAGCGCGAGGGCGAATTCATCGACAACTCGAAGCACATGAACACAAGTATTGCAAATGAGTTCTGGGGAAACCCGCAAGGTGGTGGAAGGGTCAATTATGGGAAAGAAGACGACCACTCGTTTGTAGCACAAAGCCACAAGGATATCCATACTGAGAGTCTATATGGACTTTCTCGTGGCTTTGTGGTACGAACGGGCGGTTGTCTTCTTTCCATTTTTTCACTGCAAGTTGTTTGCCCCCTAGGGAATGCTTCACCTGGCAGTACCTTGGTAGGCTGCTACTTGGTCCTGTCCATCTGGAGCTCCAAGGACATGCAGCCCCCGGTTAATTACTCCCGACAACTGATCTGTTATGTTTGAAGCTTTTCGAAACTTATGCTTTCATACATCCAAGATAAATAGGCCACCCTTGGCTTTATCTTCTGAAGCTTTACCTGAACCGGATGCCTGTTGATCAAGTGAAAGTGCTGCACAAAAAACGAAGTCACTCGCTAGATACACGCACCACAAAATTAAATTTCCAAAGGCAATAAAGTTTACCTTATTGCTCACAAATGCACCCACAACCAATTATATGAAAGCGAGATGAAACTTCATAAAATCGAAAACTTCTTCAAGCGCTTTACCTTTCTGGTCAAAAATAACAAAAATGCATCTATGATTCATTTTATTATTGTGATGCAATTTTCCGAAATTGAAAAAGAATACCAGATTTCGAACGGCTGTCGACTTACCATTTCGATCCCCAAACAAACACACAAGACAAGGGCAAAGGTTGTAATAGAAACTGTTGAACTTTAATGACCATCACATAATGACCTAAATGTGCTTGCATTTCACTGTGACAGGACCAACACGAATGCTCACAAATATAGAGAACCAATGGCAGCTTAGACGTGTACTCTACGGAAACAAACCTGAGCGTCACTCATGTGGCAGGAGGAAAAGTAGGGGCAACGCACGCAGCACTTAATGAAAATGCAATAGTAAACTGAAAATGGAAACGACACGAAGTTAGGCTCACTGCTTTAAAAGAAAGTAGCGATTTCACAAATAGCGTAGAAATATGCTTTGCACTATTCTCTGCTGATGAGGAAGTGGGACACCAATAGCAACACAATAACAAATACCACTTCAATAATTCAAAACAACTAACACCAAAACAGACCACACAGTAGCTAGTGCATGCAGCTCGGCGGTTATAATAGTCTACAGTAGTGGCATTGCAAGGTCAACATACCGCCTTCAGGCAGGTATGTTCAAGTGTATTCAGCTGCAATGCTTGAAAGTGGCTATGCAAAAAAGTTGCCAATCGAATGCTTCGCCTTTGCTCTGTCCATTTCACTTCCAATTTACAGCAGAACAGTTGTCACACTTGCACGAGGTATTGCACCTCTATGAATTTAAACAACTTTTATTTTATACATATACATCTGCATGGCAAAGGAATATATGGTCATTTGTTCCATGTACCCTTGTCACTGTAGGTGAGTAAAATAACAAATGTCTACAAGGCATCTGGGGATGGTCCGAAAAGCACGAAGCTTTGATGCAGCTTTCCTGCTGTTATTGCGAGACGGAGGGCCACATTCGAAGGGCTTACAAAGTCGCACGCTGACAGCAGAAAGTTGTCGCGACAAATGTGAGGGGGAAGTTGGGTTTCTGCAACTGCGACCAAGCAGCATTAAAGGTGAACGATAGAAGCACCACTCGAAAACACCAACAACAACAAAGACACCAATACGCCAGCCCATATACATAAAAAAAAAAAGATCACCAGCAGCGAGTAGCTGAGGTTTTCCTATACACATACCATAACTATCCGTGATGGGAATGAATGTCCCTTCCCATCACCTCTTTTGTACCAGCCATACTGTCTGCTTCAAGCCAGTATACCAAGCATGAGTATCAAAGTTGAACATTCAGTAATGGCGAGCTTCTTTTGAACAGACAATGAAGAATAGGAAGATATCAAGCACAAGATGAAAACCATGAAAAAGTAACTGTGAGCATTGTGGAAGATGTACTAGCGGTATAAGAAATCAAATGGCACACAATGATAATATTTGAATATGTAAACCATACCCAATATCTTCCATAATAGTTTACAAATTATGAAAAGCCTTCTAACAACTAATATCAAAAAATTTCCACATCAATGCACTCTTAACATTCATTTCAGTTGGTATGCTGTGCATTAAACACTTCAATAAATGCGCAATGGAAGTATTGCAGAACAAGTAGCACAAAATTAAGGAGCCTAGAAGAATGTGATAATACTGCTGTGTAAGATACCAACGCAACCTCACTTTTCTGTGTGTGTGTGTGTCTGTGTGCGTGCACGCTAGCACGTGCATATCGTCTTTACCAGAACAAATGAATGCTGCCTGCAATGATTTCACGGAAAAAAAATCACATAATGGCTGCAAAAGACAACAGCACTATTGCATACTTTATGTTGTCATTGATTTTTTCAAAAGTTTAGTCCAATCAGAAGATGAAAGTGTTGCACCTAAGAAGCGCTAAGCAATGACCGTGGCTAAATACTATTAGCAAGAGCGGCTGGACCAATGACGAGAGGTGCGAGCGAATGCAACAGCATGCCGCCGCATTGCTCCAACATCGAATTTTCACACAAATTTCATTTGTAATATTTCACAATGCAACAGATGAATAATGGCAAATAACGAAAGCATGACATCTCGCATTCCATAGTTACACTCCCAACCACCACACGTAAGGAAATTGCAAGCCACCCGTTTATTTCAGATTCCAGAATGAGGGTGTGTTTCTCGCTGTCATGTGTGCTACTGATGTAGAAGAAAATGAAATTGCGAGACTTCAATGTGCCACTGACTCGGGAAAATGCAATTACGGTACAGTGCAGTTACTGCAGCCACAGGCATCAATTTTGGAGTGAAGTGGTTTTTGAGCCTGATACATCTGCACCACTGTGTAGCTACCACAATGCTCACAATGCTAATGCACCAAACAGCTACTGAACTTGCAAAGTTGCGTAGTACATGAAATGTTGAATACATGGCATATGCCTACATTTACAACTTGTATTTCGCACAATACAAAGTACGACATGAAACACAGTATAAAAAAGCTGAATGTAAGCTTTTTAAAAAAGAAAACAAACATATAACCAAAACTTATTCATCTGGCATGTCATGGCAAGCTCCTCTTTATCACTCAAGGAAAAAAAAAGACATTCAAACTGGAAACAAAAACAAAAAACAGGGGTGGAGGCAGAGGAAGTAAGATGCCACGATATGATGAAAACATGCACTTACACAATTCACTTTTACACAAGAAACAACAACTGTATCACAACCTCAGCATGACTGCACAATTAACACACTGCCAGAGAAAAGTCAAAACTGAAATATGGCACCTTGGGGTACGAAAGAGTGAAGCCTATACACAATGCATTCCATTTATACACAATACATTCCATATAGACACCATCTTCGCACTCTTCTTTTTTTCTTCACACAACTTATGTACAAGCAACAATCAACATCACACCACAAAAGCTTTCTATGAATGAATAAATACAAAAAATTAATAAAGAACTGTGGCCCAAACACCATGTTTCATTCACAACATAAAAAGTAGAATAGCAAAGCTAACATCACTTCTGTATGGATAAAGGCTGAAAGGGATTTTCTGCTTCAGACCAAGAACACGCTTGCACAAAATGTTCATGTAGATAAGCATTTTATCCAAGTTTTGAAAGCATTCTGTTAGCATCAGTAAACAGCCCTCTGACACTCGCTTGAAACATTTTGCCGCCAGTGCTCAATAATTTTACTGTGACACTGCTTTCAGCTGTGGGAAGATCTGAAAAATGACTGCTGGTACGTTAACCGACAGGCGAAATGCTACGTGCGCGCAGTCTCTAAAGTTTTCAGTCGAGATATAAAAACCACTTATTGTTATTAGAAATACATTGAGTAAAGGTGGATCAATTGCAACATGAGCAAAGAGATGGGATGACAGAAAGCGCTGTGTCTTGTACCCTTGTTTCGTCCGCATCCCATTTCACTCCCTTCTTTACTCAAACATGCCCAGCTAGAAGTACCGTGCTTACATTACCCAAGAAAGCAAAGAAAACAAGGTGGTTATGATGTTCAAACCAGTTTATGGCTATGCTGCATTGCTCATAGAGATGTTACAGTTTGCACTATGTCAGCTCCTGATAAATGATATCAGAAATCCTAGGAAACCAGCTCAAAAGATGTGAAGGTGTTTGTGGTTTTCTGTCATGATCTAGGAGCAAGAGGAAAAGAAGAAGTGCATTTTCGACAAAGTGTTCGCTCCCACAGGAAGAGGGGGGGGTGGGGCATACCGTTGCCACAGCTGACTAACTGCTTCTGAAGACAATGATAGGAGTGTGCTGCAGTGGCAATACTGCCCATAGTGTAGTACTTGAAAAAACATAAAAACGTGGCTCTTCTGCAGACAAGCCAGTTCAATTCATCATTCACTTGTGGCAAAAATATACATTTGCATTCAATCAGGCAGCTTATTTTTATTTGCTTTCACACACAAACTTTCATTTCTCTGCATGTTGTATAGGCTCATTTTTCGCATGATTGTGCCACTGCTGTGAGTGTTAGTATTTGCCAAGTGGTAAGGAGACGTCTCAGTACTTGTAAGACTTTTCCAGCAGCTGTTCTTCAACTGCAGCACGAGAACTAGGCACAGCTAGGTGATGTAGCAAACAACCATTCCCATGCATTCTTTATCATTCAACGAGGCTAGTCCTTTAGCTATCAAAAGCTCTCTTCTGCAGGGCTTGTCAAAGTGGTGAAAAAGAATGCAATCTGTGGCTTTTTTTTTTTTTTGCGCAATCCCCTTTCCTATTCTTCCGAGATAGCAATGATTGATTTAGAAGATGCATTCCAACAAACCTCAGAGGTATAGAAGTGCATGTAACAAAAAGTGGCCATTTTGCGTCAGCTATTCGAGCTTGTACCTTATGCCTGCCGTGCCTCGTGACATAGCCAAGAAACTCTTCCCCCCTCTTCCCCACCCCCCTTTTTAAAAGTGTAGTAACAGTTGTTGCGTCATCTCCTCAAAGTGAAGGGCACCCTAGTGGAGGCCAAAGTGGGTGCGTCCGTCGTATTCCTGGATTTCAGTCAGTGACGTTGAGCCTTACGGTACGGCTGGCCAGGCTGACAGACTTGTGCTGGTAGAGCTGGTTCTGCGCAAAGGCTGTGTCATCCAGAGTGATTCGGTGGCAACGGTATCCTTCAGGTGGTTCCTGCGCAGTCTTCACTCGGTGCTCATATGCATCGATTCAGAGAGAAGTTTTCTCTTTCTTTCGCATCCTGCTCTCACGAAATGTTGGCCCAACGGAGGAAGGCTGGCAAATCTCTGACGGGCACGTTGTGTGTCAGAGCTTTCACGCACAGGTTCCGGTCCTCGGTGATGAGGACTGTTTCTCGGTACAGCTTCACTGGTCTATCTGTTGAGAAAAACAAAAGACCCAGGTAAGTCCAACATGGCCCTTGCTGCTAAACGTAAATATTTGCTATCAGATCGGTGTTTTTATATCTCTCCTTTTCACTATTGCGTTTTTTTTTTGTCAGTACCACAAAACCATTATCGGGGATGCGGCAGTCGAGATGTACAGCTTAACCTTCACCGCCCTAGTAGTCTTGAACGTGCAACCAAAAATTCCCAACAGTACACAAGCAAGTTTGTACATTATTTGATGAGGATATTGCTGGTGTTTTTAAGTTCAAACCTGCGACATCTAGCTTAACAGCCTAAACAGTGCAACAATCATAAGGCATAGTTGTGGATACAGGGCCGCAGAGAAGGCCACAACAAGGAATTCTCCACACGTAACGTCACAACCCATCCTACAGTCTACAGAACTATCACTGCACTTAGAAGCGCAATCATTGCTTTGAGAAGTTCCTCATTAAGTACGAAGAGTTTCAACGTTCTACGCTTCTGCACCAACACACCGTATCACATCTAAACGGTATCAACCATTCTTTAAATAGCACCAACACATCCTTTCACTGCCTTATCAGGAACTACCACACACTGCGGGTAGTTTCTGCGCCGACTGCCATTTACTCAGAGTGGGTAAAAATGAAGTTCCAACAATCTCGATGAACCCCAACCTCGCCTGAAATGTTTTTACCACTCCATAAACACATACACTTACCAGGCTCCCTTGGAAGTGCATGCTCTGTACGATCATTGCAAAGCAGCCGGCAGCAGGTCAGGATTTGGTCGTCATTGGTCCCCTTAAAAAAATAAAAAAAATATGAGAAATGCCACCATTCGTATTTTAGATGAACTTTCATATCATGCAGCTGTGCTGCGGACATTGAGAAAACTCTACTCCGAACCCCTCTAGCTTGAAACAATCGAGGGCACATAGCAACACGTAGTGAATGAAGTTGCTTGAAAATCAGGGAAGCGAGCCCTTTTTTTGATTGCTGCGTTCACAAGGTAACACACTGCTGCCTCATCTGCATTTCTCTCTACTAGAAAGAACATTTCACTGTTTGGCTAAGTACTTTTTCTCCCAAGGCACAGCTAGGCTTCCCTAACACCAACGCTTTTCCAAGTTTAGGAGCCAAACCTATTACACTAGTTGAAACAGCAAGGAGAGCTAGCTCAGTTACATTGAAACAAATGAACCAATTTGGTTAATTGGAGGGTCAACTGGAGCCGGTGTTAAATACGATCTCGCAAAAAACAATGGGCAAGTGAGAAGCGGTTGTGGCATACCTTGTAGTCACCCACATCCTCGCTGCGGAAGCTGATGGTGTCCAGTATGGAGCCCCTGATGGTGATTGCCCTGAGCTTCGGTTCGCGCTGGCCAAACCTCTCCTCCAGGTAGGCGAGAGCAGCTCTGGCGCTTGAGCCCACTTTCTCGCAGTGGTCGAGGAAGGGTCCGGACCCCGGGACCCCCCTCGTGCGAGCCCGTGCAGCTCTTCAGCACTGCGCACAGCATGTGAGAAATATGAGGGAAATAACTAACTTGCTTCTTTTGTTTCACTTTTTTTTTTCACAATAAATGAGCAATCAGTGATCGAGCAATCGGTGTAAAACTTAAGCTTGGGACCTGCACCTGTAACAAAACTTACTCAAAGTTATTACCAACCACAACTAGACACTAAAAGACAAAGATAACCTTGTTTCAGATAGTGTAAATGGTGGATGAATGAATGAACCGAAATATAAGAATAAATGAAAACATTGAATTAAAAGTGAGGGAGCGTGGAAATAAATAAAAGGCACTCATAAAAGAACAAGGTCCTAGTGGCCATAAGTAGGTTAAGTAGGTACTTAACCCGCCTACAGCACCACTG